CCCCCCAGAGCCCAGCTGCAGGGCCTTCTCTGGCCCAGACACTCACATCCCCTGTCCTTCTAGAGGCCAGGGAAAAAGAGGCAGAAACAGCGTGATGCTGGGTCCTGGGCTTGCAGGGCGTTTCCTGTGCGCCGCCGCTTCCTTCAGGGTATGTTGGGAACTGCAACTGCTGGGAACTCTCCAGTTCCCTCCCCCTGGCATTGTCTTCTATTTGCAAGCTGGGGTCTGCTGGGTACAGCCACCCCTAGTGGCGACCAACATCTCTGCAGCCCATTTCGGGGGTGGGGAGGGGGAGAGAAAATTCTGCACCCACAACACTAATTTCTGCAAAATTCTGCATTGCGCAGTGGTGCAGAACTCCACCAGGAGTAAAATGTAGAATTATGTACCAAAAAACCTGCGTTCAAAAATAAAACAATATAAAACTTTAGAGCCTACATGTGCTCTCAGTCCTATTACTTGTTCAGCCAATCGCTCAGACAAACAAGTTTGTTTACATTTGCAGGAGATAATGCTGCCCGCTTCTTCTTTACAATGTCACCTGAAAGTGAGAACAGATGTTCGCATGGCACTGTTGTAGCTGGCATCCCAAGATATTTATGTGCCTGATGCACTAAAGAATCATATGTCCCTTTCATGCTTCAACCATTTTCCAGAGGACGTTTGTCTTAGCGATTGGCTGAACAAGTAATAGGCCTGAGTGGACTTGTAGGCTCTAAAGTTTTTTACATTGTTTTGTTTTTGAGTGCAGTTATGTAACACACACAAAAAAATCTACATTTGTAAGTTGCGCGTTCACCATACAGATTGCACTATGGTACTTGTATGAGATGAATTGAAAAATACAGTTTCTTTTGTTTATCATTTTTACAGTGCAAATATTTGTAATAAAAAATATAAAATGAGCACTGTACACTTTGTATTCTGTGTTGTAATTGAAATCAATATATTTGAAAATGTAGGAAAACATTTAAAAATATTTAATTTCAATTGGTATTCTATTGTTTAACAGTGCGATTTAAAACTGTGATGAATCACGATTAATTTTTTGAGTTAATAGTGTGAGTTAACTGCAGTTAATCAGCCCTAAAAATTATATATACTCAGAGTTTCACCCATGACTAAGTTCATCTTACTCTTGCAATAATATTTAAGTTGCTTATTCTAACTACCTCTTATTTTTGGCCCGGACCCTGGGAGGTGCTGAGAACCTGCAAGTCTCTCTGATGTCAGTCTGGGTTTCTGATGTGATTTATGGTTCAGAAAAGCTCTGTGGGGCATGCCTTAATTGCCTCAGTAATGCTTTTACTCCCTGGCTTCGTGATTGGGTAGAATTTTCTCCAAGAAACTTTTTTTGAAATAGATTGGGTCTCTGTGGTGGACCATGGTGGTAGTTTATGTTGCAGTGGGAAAAAACTTCATTTCTGCCTGGAGTAGGAAATGGTCTGAACAGGGTAGTAAGTAGATCCTATATTTATGACCACATCCAGCCTGAGGATCATAGAATATCAGGGTTGGACGGGACGTCAAGAGGTCATTTAGTCCACCCCCCTGCTCAAAGCAGGACCAATCTCCAGCTAAATCATCCCAGCCAGGGCTTTGTCAAACCTGACCTTAAAAACCTCTAAGGAAGGAGATTCCACCACCACCCTAGGTAACCCATTCCAGTGCTTCACCACCCTCCTAGTGAAATTTTTTTTCTAATATCCAATCTAAACATCCCCCACTGCAGCTTGAGACCATTACTCCTTGTTCAAGATCCAATCTTGATAAGGCCGTTTATGTATTTGGGCCCATATATTACCTGTAAGAAACCTGAACTGGAGGGTCTGTATGGGAGTTTTTGGTTTATTGGACTGGAGAAGTTTGTACACTGATTGGATTGGTGTTATATGAGAGCTGACGGGACATTTGAATAGATATATCTTCAATAACAAGGATGAGTCTCCATTTCTTTTTTTGGCCTGTTTGCATTTTTTTTAGGGTACTTAAAAGTGGGGAGAATGTAAACAAAAGTCAAAATTAAAACATCGCTTAATTCACAAGGCAAATTCCAGTTCATATTAAGGCCATTGGTTTGTCTTTCTTTATCCTTACTCAGAGATAAAGTTGTACTTTAGTTAATCCACCTTTCAGATCTCTCCAGTCTTACGTGTTATGTTGCCAACTCATGATTTTATCGTGAGCTTAGCAATATTTGGTGTTTTTCTTTAAGTCCCAGCACCCGGAGTCCTGTGAATTTCAGCTTTCATTTACAAGAAAAATTGCTGGCCCTCATAGTTGCAGAGAGAGCTTGAAAAAGTGAACCCTGAGGGCTCGTACACCAGAAGGCAAATTAAAAGAACCCAAATTTATTTTTTAACTAACTTTTATTTTTTGGGGGTGGAGGTGGCTTGAGTCATGATTTTTTTGAAGGCTTGTGGTTGGCAATACTTAGGGTGACCATATTTTCCCAGCGGGAAAATGGCACACCCGTGGGCCGGCCTGAGCCCCAGCGCGGGGACAGCCTAAGCCCTCCCTGAGGTCTCCCAGCCTCCCTGTGCGCAGGGCTGCCAGAGGCCACCCCTTGCCTCCCCGCGCTTGGGCCGACCTGCCTCCTATCCATGCAGTGCCAGCCTGAGGTTAATGAGCGGGGGGTGTTCAGAACCTCCCAAGAGATACTTTAATACGTACAGTATGTTGGGGTGACAGGTGTAAGGAACTTACCTCTTTACTTTACAAGATACTATGTTTAAAGAACTAGTCTACTTACTGCTTTTAAAAAATGAGCCTGGACGTAGGAATACATGATGTCTCTCTCACCTTGAATGCTAGGCCGATCAACAGCTGGTGAAGAAAGGGAAAAGCAAAGTTGGTGACATGTTGGAAAAAGCAGCAGAATTGCTGATGAGCTGTTTTCGCGTCTGTGCCAGTGACACGTGAGTGAAAGATCCTTCCTTGATCTTGTGTTGAATCATTAAGAAATGTAAATAACTTTACCCATTTGCAAAGCATAAGAATTACAGTATATACTCGATCATAAGCCAGTTCGTTTATAAGCCTACCCCCCCGCCCAGATGGATACGTAAAAATGGAAAATTTTTATAACCTGTTCATAAGCCAACCCTATAATTCAGGGGTCGGCAAACTTTGGCTCCCAGGCCATCAGGATAAGCCGCTGGTGGGCCGAGATGGTTTGTTTACCTCAAGCAGCCGCAGGCACTGAGGTAAACTGTCCCGGCACGCCAGCAGCTTACCCTGACGGGCTGGGACAGCAACTAGTGGGGACATTTTTTGGGCTGGGAGAAGCTGGGAGTCAGGGGAGTAACCCCTGTGACCACCCCCTACATGACCCCACCCCTAGCCTGGGATCCCCACACTCTCCCCATCCCATTCTTTCCCACTTATCTGGGGAGGATGTTTCTGGCTTGGCTGGAGCTGCTCCGGCAGGCTGGGCAGCGTGGCCGCAGCCTACTCCAGCAGGCCAGACCAGGCTGCGTGTCCGCAGTGTGTTCCAGTGGACTGGGTGGCACGGCCGCAGCGTTCTCCGGCAGCGTGGCTACAGCCTGCTCTGGGGGACAGGGCCGAGCGGCACGGCTGCAGCCTGCCAGCCCCGGAGCTGCAGCTGCTTTGGAGGCTGGGGGGAGAGCAGTGTGGCCAGAAGTGGAGAGACTCTGGCCCCGCCTCTTCCCTTCTGGCTGTGCTGCCTCTCCTTGCTTCCTCTGTTGCAGGGAGGGGCTGTGTCCCACCTCTCCCTCTCTAACCCGTTCATAAGCCGACCCCCTTCTCTGGTGCTTCCCTTTTTTACTAAAAAAATTCGGCTTATGAACGAGTATATACGGTAATTCTCTCCACTAACCAAGACCATATCTAGGTCAGGGCAGTCACTTTTGTTGCCTGCCTCCTTCCCTTTGTACTGTGTTCTCTCCTGAATATCAACTACAGCTGGAGAGGCTTCTCTTTAGGCTTGATATTCTTAGCAGGAGTTGCAGAAGAGACTAATTTACATCCTGGTCTCCCAAGGCAAACAATTAACTCTTTGTCCTGTTCCAGTGTGGAGTTTGTACATGTCATCACAGTGGGACTGGGAGAGAGGGAGTTTTACTTCAGTCTTCCATTCTTAAGATTTTTAATGTTCTCAACATGGAGAAAAGGCTTCTTCACTCTCTCAGGCGCATGCTACATACAGGTGTGCAGAAGGCCACAGGAGGGGAATTCCACTGTAGTGAACCCCAGTCTCTCTCTATTACAGTATGTCTTGTAGCCTCTATCATAACTAGTGTGTAAAGTCTGGAGGAGGACAGCCTTAAGTTATTTAAACTTCTGTCATTAGCTTAAAATCCAGGGAAACTCCTAAATAAAAAACTTAAAATCACTCAAATATTTCCTATCAACACAATCACTAGAAAACAAGGAAATCTCCAGCTAAGTAGCATTAGCATACACTAAAGTCTAAAATTGCTCTTCAGACCTCTCAGATATCATAATACCAAAGCACGCTTAGATTTCTCTCCTGTACAACAAGCTCCCTTTCAGTTCCAGTGTGCAACCACTCAGATGCACACATCATGTTCTTCAAAATCTCATCCAAAATATACAAACTCAACTCCAGTCTGAGTATTTTAAGATGAAATAAACGCTATGAGAATTTCAGAGTAAAATCATGTCTCTCTCTAAAATATCTTTCATCTTGCTGTGATTGGAGTTAAGGTTGTGCATTGAGTGAAATTCTGAGGAGATGGACGTGTACGTTGTTGGTGGCTATATATATATTGGAAGTGTGTGAATGGTAAGACAGGTGACTTGAGATTGGGGTGGATACCCTTGTTGTCTTACCAAGCGACTTTCTTGATTTGAAGTGATTGCATTGACGGGGGAACACAGTTGAGCAATCTTAAAATTAACAAAGATTATAGAATGGAAATGGGATTGGACGCTTTGTTTTGATGAAGATTGTATGGTCTAAAATTTACAAGGAATTTTTGGCTTGTTTTTGTTTGATATTAATGTAAGACCATTTGTTTTAAAAATATGGATCAAAGGCGTGTGAAGGGAATTCATTCTAAAAGCAAAATATGTATTTTCCTAAAACATTCATTTCTAATGTTTTATCTTTTGTAACAGTCGAGCTGGCATTGATGACTCCAAAAAGTGGGGCATGTTGTTTCTGGTGAATCAGCTGTTTAAAATCTATTTTAAGGTATGATCCAAGTCTACTAAGTTTGTTTTCTTTGTATTTCATGTTCTAAATCAAGTCCCGTTTCACATCGTGCTACATTGATATACCTTTCAATCATGTGACTTTCTTCTCAGATTAACAAACTTCATCTGTGTAAACCATTAATTAGAGCTATTGACAGCTCAAATCTGAAAGATGAGTACAGCATGGCACAGAGAGTTACATTCAAATACTACGTTGGACGCAAGGCGATGTTTGACAGTGATTTTAAGCAAGGTACTATATGCCAGTAGAACAGATTTATATTCTCACTGCTGGGAGTGAACACCAGCTGATGTGTTTTATGTGTGTGACTCAAAACCTGTCGTTCGGTCAGTGCAAAGACAAGATCCAAAGGGATTTGCTGCAGGCTCAACCAGATTAGAGTATGGATTACATTACAATTCTAATTGCAACATGTAATCAGTCTTGAACTATTTACATCTCCAAACTCTTCTTTAGCATACACTTTATACATTTGGTACACACGTTACTAAAATGTGTTTTCTGGGTGAGTGTCCAGCAAGGTACTTGTGATTTATGTATATGAGAGATGTTTACAGCTTTCTTGCCCTTTTGGATGTCGCTTGTGCATCAGACTTTCAACAAACTGTACCATACAATTTAGCTTCTCTTGGTGCATTGATGTTGAAGATACATTGTAGCTTTATTTAACCTTTCTCAGTAATATTATATGAGACTTTAGGGTAGTGGCTCTCAACCTTTCCAGACTACTGTCCCCCTTTCGGGAGTCTGATTTGTCATGCATACTCCCAAGTTTCACCTCACTTAAAAACTACTTGCTTACAAAATCAGACATAAAAATGTCACAGCACACTATTACTGAAAAATTGCTTACTTTCTCATTTTTACCATATTATTATAAAATAAATCAATTGGAATATAAATATTGTACTTACATTTCAGCATATAGTATATAGAGCAGTATAAACAAGTCATTGTATGAAATTTTAGTTTGTACTGACTTTGCTAGTGCTTTTTATGTAGCCTGTTGTAAAACTAGGCAAATATCTAGATGAGTTGATGTACCCCTTGGAAGATCTCTGAGTACCCCAAAGGGGACAAGTACCCCTGGTTGAGAACCACTGCTTTAGGGCTAGACTGTGCAGCCTTCACTCATGTTGGTGGGTGCTGGGGCTACTTGCTTGAGTGCCCCATGAGTAAGGTTGCACAATATAGCCCTTTGCAAATAAGGACATTTCCAGTCCTTTGCTCGTCGGTCTTTCATAGTCACTTGCACAACTTGGGCGTATGTTTACACATTATATGCCATCTGACTTCCCTGAAGAAGAGCCCTAACACACAATTTTGGAAAATGTCATAGCATGTAGAAACCTAAACATCCTGAAATTTTCCCTCTCCTATAACAGTAACACAATAACCTTGCTATATTGAGTTGGAATTCTTTTCATAATGTAGTTTGATTGTGCAACTGCTCCATCTGAAATGTAGTGTCAGTATATCTTTTAAAAAGGAAACCGTTTTTATGCTAATGCCCATCTTCAGTGAATCCAACAATTCTTAAGGCATTTATGTTTATTTTACCCTTTTAGTTAGTGTGCAATTTAGATTGACTTAGTTCCTGTGTGAATACTTCTAGGTTATTGTAAATATGGGAGAAAATGTTTTGACAGGCTCAGTTAAACATATTATTGTTTATTTGTATGTTTAACTCATTTTTGCTGTTGGTCTCCGTTACCAGCAGCAGTGCTGATCCTCTTTCTGTGTCTACAGCTGAAGAGTATCTGTCATTCGCCTTTGAGCACTGTCACCGTTCAAGTCAGAAAAACAAAAGGATGATTTTGATTTACCTTTTGCCAGTAAAAATGTTATTGGTGAGTGGTTTAGCTCTCTACTTCCAAATCAGTCACTGTGGGAGAAATGACCAAGCTGACACACACTACAGCATGACTTCCCCTGATTTTTATTCAGAAGCTGTCTGGAGCCCTATCCAGACACAGGCGTCAGCTCATGCAGACCTTGTATGGTCAAGGCCGAGAAGTATGGTTTGTCAAGCACTTACTTGAAACTGGTGAATTGTAATTTTTGTAATTGCAGAAAAGGGGGGTAAACAACCCTAAAATTTTTTTTTGAACTTGTAAATTATCCCGATAAATAATAAAATGCATGATTCCCCACACACTTCCTAATTCCAAATACTGCTCCTAGCTTCATAGCAACAAAGGCACCCATAGCATTGTAAATGGCGCGATTTCAGTGTATAAGAGGAGTGCAGTATTGTAGCTCCATAGCAGTCCCCTGTGTAAGTGTGGACGGGGGGGGGAGAGAGTGGGTACAGGTCCGTCAGGGCAGATTCTTCCATTTTCTCACCCCACGAGAGGAAGAGTGTGTGTAAAGGCCTGCATAGTCTACTTGAGCAGGTCCACAGCCTGAAGAGGAAGGATTCTTTCCTTCATGCCCCTCCCTTACCTGGTGTGTATATACCCTCTGAAGATGGGTGCTAGAGGAATTGCCAGGTAGAGAACTTCAATCCTGATGTTTGATGAATTCACTCCTTTCTTTTTTTTTTTTTTTTTCCAGTCTTGGAGCTCTTTTGAGCAGTCATGACTAATTACATTAAATGAGGCAGTCTTGTGAAATGGGAATGCTAAACCCATTATTAGTGGCATGAAACAGAAATGCAAGGCTTTTGATAACCAAATCATTTAGTACCTTAAATTACTGTCTTCTCTCTTCTAGAGCAATTTTGCCATATAGAAAGCCCAACTTGGCAAGATTATAAGCTTCCAAACTTTACACTTATTTAAAAATGTATTAAAATAACACAAGTGGCTGTTTGTTCACTGAGAGGTAGCTAGAAACCTAGAACGCAGAGTTCTGTTTCACATCTCATCTGATTCTCCAACCAGTAAAGGATCTACCACTGGCATAGCAGCCAGGTAGCTATGTTTCAGTGCTGCCTGGGTTGATGTGCAATCTAATCTCTGCTGTGTAAATTAAAAAAACACAAATTCCTTTTTGGTACTGTGTGTGGTTCAAAGTCTCATCAGACCTGATACAATGAGAATGAGTTTTGTCTTTTCAAACTAACTTTTTTTTTTTTTTTTTTTTTTTTTTTTAAAGAAAGGACATTAAAAATCCACCAGGAGAAATTACGGAAAATATGTCTGGTTAGACAATCAATAATCTTAACTGTGCTGAGACACACATCACAGTCATGATTACTGGTGTGTTCTAAAACAGTTTTCTGTTTGCAGAGTGGAGTGCAACACAAGTGTAAAATTTGTAACAGTCTAGATCATGTGAAGCGTGACCTACTCTGTAATACTAGTTTTATAATTGATCACACTACCATATTTTTAAAGTTTTTAAAACCCACACTTCTGTAACTATGCCAGACAAAAGTTTGTTGGCATGATTAGTGATGTAGTGTATTGGGGACCTAAAAATACCTTAATTCACCGCCTTTTTTTCTGAAAAAGTAAAGTAGATAAATGTTTGTATTTGTATTTTTGTTTTTATAGATGATTGATTTGGAAATATATTTAAACTTATCCTGAACATTTTTAACTATGCTTGCTTTTCAGGGCCATATGCCAACAATTCAACTTTTGAAAAAGTATGAGCTTATGCAGTTTGCTGAAGTAACTAAGGCTGTGAGGTACAGTATATTTATTGGATCACGTATTTTTGTTCAAAATAGTATTAAGTGAAAGGTTTTTATAGTATGTGAAAAATATCCATTGAGTTAGATATTTCATCTTCCCAGAGTTGTACCTTCTCATGGTACTTCCATATTTTCTGTCATTTTAGTGAAGGAAATCTTCTGCTATTGAATGATGCTCTGACAAAACACGAGACCTTCTTCATTCGTTGTGGTATCTTCCTGATCCTTGAGAAGCTGAAAATCATCACCTACAGGAACCTGTTTAAGAAAGTGTAAGGGAAGTAGAAATCCTATTTTGTGGAAGGGAGATCTTCATTTGGTTTCACCACAGAATTGAATTTAAAACATCCAGGGTCCCTATTTGTCCCTTAGAGGCCAGAGCTTAAGCAAAGTGAATTATGGTAGAAGGGCCCTTTTGCTCAGAGAAGCAGAATTTTGAGGTAATTGTGCCGAAATAACTGAAATGTATTTCTGTTTGCGTCTTTCAGATATTTGCTACTTAAAACCCATCAGCTATCTCTAGATGCCTTTCTGGTTGCCCTGAAATTCATGCAGGTGGAAGATGTTGATATTGATGAAGTCCAGTGTATTTTGGCTAATCTTATATACATGGTATGTGTTCACCATTCATTAGCTTGCCTTGGCAACTGTTGTTGGTAGAAATGACTACACACAACAGGAAGGTTAATTACAGAAGGGTAATAATAATAGGAAGTGTACTGCGTTTAGGTTTTTGGGGGGCTGCTTGTGCGTTATACTTGTACTCATTTGTTCCTCTCATGTATCTAACTACAGTGAAGATTCTTATGCTCTAATTCTTGCCTTTTATATGCAAAACAGTAAGGACTGCAATTGAGTTTCCATTATAAAGCCAATCTTTGCCCTTTTGCTAAAGTCTACGAACACAGTTACAAAATTGGTAAATTATGACTAGGGCTGAGGTAGAATATTTATACTAAATTTGAGTTCAATTGGACATGGGATTCCTGATTTGACATCCTAAAAATAGAGGTACTCATAAGAGTTCACAAGCTGAATGATAGGGAAAAGATGTAAAAAAGGAGAGAGATAAATTAGTTTACTGGACTCTTGTAAGGGTCTAGTGCACATGAACAAAGATGAGTTAATTAAGCTCTATGTTTAAAGGTTATTAAAACTTTGGTCTTAAAATTGGGTAATCTAGGAATAGATTGGAAATTTATAGTCCTTTTTCTTGTAGAGACGGACCTCAAAATGTAAATTGGCAACTAGGAAGGCTTGTCAGTAACAGCAAATTCAAAGTTCATGGGCATGCTTAAGGTCCCTATGTAGCAAAGTACTATATATAGATATATCTAGCTCATAGAACTGGAAGGGACCCTGAAAGGTCATTGAGTCCAGCCCCCTGCCTTCACTAGCAAGGACCAAGTACTGATTTTTGTCCCAGATCCCTAAGTGGCCCCCTCAAGGATTGAACTCACAACCCTGGGTTTAGCAGGCCAATGTTCAAACCACTGAGCTATCCCTCCCCTCAAACTTAACTTAAGTGTGTGATTAACTTTATATCTTTTATTTATATTATTTGAAGTCAATGGGACTACTCATGAATTTAAAGTTAAGTGCACACACGCACACAGATGTTTTGCTTGATCAAGACTGAAGGTAGCAAAAAGAAACTTATTGCCAATTTTCAATACTAAAACATCTTTCTTTTTAACTCTGTCAGGGTCATATTAAAGGATATATATCTCATCAACATCAGAAGCTTGTGGTCAGTAAGCAGAACCCATTCCCTCCACTTTCTACAGTGTGTTGAGTTTACTGCACCTTAGATGGAGTATTTATAAGAGACTCTACTTGTCAATGGAACTGTTTCTCAAATCGCTCAGTGGAAACTGTTAATGACCTGGTTATGTTCAGTACTGGAATACAAAAAAACTGTTCATGACTCCTTTCCCAGTGGGACAGGGCCTGCCATCTTGACCAAGCACAGAGAACAAAATGCTTCCTTTTTAAAGTTAGTTTCTACAAACCCTGAAGTATAGTGGCTGGAAAAGAAACAAGAACATTTGCAAAATTTCAGCTACAATCTTTAAAAAGCCTGCCTCACCTGTCTCAAATGTCATGTGTACTGACACCCCTTTATATTCCCATAACTATTTCTGTCCTTATCTGTCAAAAGCAAGTGTCCATCGGTGACACTTAATCATTCTTCATAGGTAGAAACAATGCTTTTATTTCACCTGTTCTTGACCTAACTCCCAGTTATGTGAAACTTTGGTTTTTTCAGTAATCTTGGTTGGATACAAGGCTCTTCAAACCCTCTCTAAAAATTAAGGACCCATGCCTGATAGGTGCTGCACCCCTGGAACCTCACTTCAATTTCAATAGGATTTATGAGTGTACAGCAGGGTGTGAGGTGTGGTTACCAAAGGCCCAATTCTGAGCAGCAATAGGTAACTGTACTTGTTAACGTTTCCCTTTGAGGCATAAGAATTTATTTAGGCAACCTTGTCCTACTCCATTTTAATTCTGATTTTGTGGAATATTTCTGCCAGTAGGTCCATTCTTTTAAGTGTTCTTTATTTTTGCACAGCTTACCTGTTGTTCATGCTGGTTGTTTTGTAAAATAATAAACCAAATGTGATATTTTTCTCTTGGTGGTGACAGTGATAATTTTATTCCAGACCGTTTTAGCACCAGCACACACCATCTAAGACATTTAACCGTCTTTATAATGAAAGTTTCAATCAAATTATTATAGGTTTATAAAAAAAATAATACTAAAGCACCTATGAGGTAAGTAGTTTCCTAGATTGCTATTATTTTAGTGGGATATTCAGGCTGTTTTCATTGTTCTGACTTATTCTGTACCATAGGAGAACTAAAAGTTACAAACCCAGGTTGTTTTGCCACCTGCATACAACATACTTCAGTAGCACTTGAAAATAGAACCGTACTTCTGATTTCTGTGCACTTTGCTTCTAATGGTGTTCAAGTGATTTAGTGTTGACATGTGAGATGGTCATTCACTTTATTTTGTTTCTGCTGAAAATGATTTTGCATAGTTTAAAAATAAATTGACTCTAGCAGTGAAAAATATTATTTCATTATCAGTTCAAATATGAAGTCACTTTCCCCGCTGGTAGAGAAAGGCCCCCCCCCCTTCTGGAGCTTTACACTGCTAAAAGTAGCAGTGGAGACAGGGAGGCACTGCTTGGGCGTGTAGATATGTACCCTTGGGTTCTGGCTTGCCTCGTCTCTATTTGCCCAAGCCATGCCTCACCAGCTACACTGCTATTTATACCAGGGCTAGCTGGCAGTGGAGTATCTGTACCCTAAGTCATTCTTATAGTAGTGTGGGTTCATAGATCCACCTTTTGAAAGTGTCCAGTCAAGAGTGTTGGGAAAGTGTTACAAGCAGGTTGTACCATTATGAAGAGTGGATATTTAATGAGTGTTTGAGAGTGGATAATTAAAACATGCAGTACTGGGAAAAGGATCCAAGCCTCTTTATTTTTGAATCCCATTCCCATTGACCTCAGTGCTGTAGGATCAGTGAGGAAAATAGATGTGCTCTATTCAAAATGCCCCTCTTTCTGTAGGACAAAGAAAACAGGCAGGGACTGGGTTGTGATCACTGCTCCTGATTGGCTAAGAGTAGTGTACAGCCTACTCTTTCTGTAACTCCATCTCCCCTGGCCTCCACCTCAGCCCACTGGTCTCATTTACCTGTTTGTCTTGTCTTTAGCATGTAAGTTCTCTGGGGCAGGGATCATCATTTACTATCGGTTTGTACAGTGCCTAGCACAGTAGGGCTTCAACCTCACTGGACAGCTCTAGGCCCTACTACAATGTAAATAGAGATGGTCAAAAAGCTTAGGCTGAACAGTGTCCTGTCAGAAAATGCTGTTTCATCAAAATCATTACATTTCACAAGGGTACATCCAGTGACATTTGATGGCACAGTTTCAGAAGGATTTGAATCAAAATGGAGTACTTTGTTTCAGCTGGGTTGTTCTGACTTGACTGTCCCTACTCAATAGCAAGAATGTAGAAGCAGGGCACTGCACTGAGCTCATCTTGCAGCGATTTCATTACTTTTACAAAACATACAACGAAGCATCAGCAATAAAGCTAAATTACACTTGTCAGATGAACAAAGTACGTGGTAGTGATGCATTAACTTTTTATTTTGCTTTTGCTCAAATGGGGCAAGGTCATCAATTGGCGAGCAAGGGCCACTCTGTTGCTGCCCCTGGGGCAGCCTGCCTGGGCAGTTGTGACTTGAGGAATCACTTCACTTATGTCTGATTTTTAGACTATTCCTGTTCTAGGGTCTGATTCAGCAAATCTTTACTCAAGTAATCCTAGCAAAGTCAGGAGGATGCTTTGCAAGTACTTACATGAATAAAGTTGTGCAGGATTTGGCCATATACCACAGTGAACATCACTGGTCCCTGAAACAGTAGCTGCATTTCCCCCTAGCAGTGGGGACATTTCAGTGAGTAGGGAAAATGATTCATGTATTTTTAATACACAATCAGTAAAAATGTTAAGGTCTCTTAGGATCAGCTTAGATGAACAGTGCTGTACAAATTCAAACTCATTATTTTCAAAGTGAAGTAGCCATGTGTCTACTACACCAGTCCTCAATCCTGTGTTTGGAAAGAGAATGGATTTTGTTTTTGAGGGATGAACTACAGATAAATATTTACAGTATGAACAACACAATACAGGCTGACCTTGCTGAAACCAGTCCAATTGCTGCATCCAAGTGATCTTTGTAATTGCAGTTATGGATTTGGTGCTGTGGGGACTTTCTTTTATTCAGTTTTTTGTTTGAACCACATCATATATCTTGAAGTCTTTGCGAAAATAAATGGTTCCCAGTTACTTACATTAGTTGGCCAAGCTCCAAAAATACCTGTCAGAAACCAAGTGCCTTTGTAGTCATGGGCGATAAAGTTTCCTCCTGCCAGCTGCCAGTCCACAGGCTCTGGGTGATGTCCGCAATACTGTCTGTTCGTAAGACTTGTATTGAGTATTTGTTCACATTCCCTTTCAGCAAGGTAGGAGACCTGCAACTCAACTAGTGAACCTCTCACCTCGCTTTCTTCCAGTTTCCAGCCACTGACAGTGCCTGCCAACTGTGGAATCAAAACATGTTCTGCAAAGTCTTTGTCAGGAAGACATATAGGATGGTGGTAGTTGTTGCACTCAATGTGCTGTCCGAGTTGTAGCAATGCAAGGTTATTCTGACCAGTAGCTTCATCGTACCGCATATGTATGTGTTTCTCATTCACATCTATTACCTGTGCAGCTCCATGCATCCTGTTATGCCCTGTGAAGTTATGACATGTTCACTGCTCTTAGAAATAGTTTTAGCATCTTTCACCAAAGGTGAACACAGATTAATTGTTAATAGTTATGGGAGCTATGCTGCCAACATAGCTACCACCATTACTGTGAAATAAGGGTATGATAAAGGCAGAAGGTAGTAGTAGGTGTTGATTTTACAGCGATTAAGCATATCAGATCCTGGTTATACAAATTTTGAAGATGCTTTTTAACTCTTCAGGAGCATATAGGTGTGAGTGAATAGGAAGAAACTATAATTTCAGGATGACAAAGTAAAATATACAATAAAAATGGGGGTGACTGAACATTGCCAATTGTTCCCTATAAGTAAAATATTTTAAATGCAGACACTGTTTCCTAGGATAGACATAAAAATTGCCATTTCAGAACATTCTATGTAAACTCTTTGAAAGTGTGCTTTGACAACACAAAAATGTAGATTGACAATGGGGGGGGGGTGAGGAGAAAACTCGGTCACTTACCAGTCCTGACCCTGATATCAGAATGATTGTGCAGAAGGGCGCACTCAGCTGTAGTCAACACAAAGTTGCTCTTCACAAGAACACCTCCACAGAATCCCTTTCCTTCCGAATTTAGCAACAGGACCTATAAAACAAAAAACAGTAAATTCTGCCGTTGTCTTCAACTTTGTACAGGGTCGTCCTCAGGATTGGTGGGGCCCTGCACCGTATTATTAAACTGGTGCCCCTATGCCTGACAGCAGCCCGGGGAGGGGGAAGGGACGAGTCAGCAAAGGATACCAAGATGCCCAGCCTGCCTCACGGCAGCGGAGACTCACGTTTCCCTGCAGAGACCCCCCGTACCTTCTCCCTCACGCAGAATGTGCAGCGCCGACGCATTAGGCTTTGTGAATACGGCCCCTGCCGAAGGAGACTGCAGTGCGTGCTGGGTGTGCGTGAGCCGACCTGCTCTTACCTGCTGTCATGGGCAGTTGGGTGAAGCTGCCACTTGGGGAGGCTAGCTCCCCAGCCCACCTCTTCTGCCTGTGGCCCCACCCATACTCCATTCCTGCTCTTCCCCAGGCCCTGCCCTATTCTGCCCAGGCCTTTCCCTCTCCCCATTGTCTCCCTTCTTTCTTCCCTCCTCCACCCTGCTCACCCCTTCCAGCCAAATCTATGAACCCAAATGAAGCAAATGACATTTGAAAAAAACCCCACTCTTCTGCAATTTCTTTCTAAAGAAAATGGAGCATGTGTTCCACTGCATGCCAGATGGTGAAGACTGGACATTAGGGTGACCAGACGTCCCGATTTTATCAGGACTGTCCCGATATTTGCTTGTTTGTCCCACGTCCCAACCAATATTAGGTCGGGACACTGGACAAACAAGTAAAGGCTCCAGAGCCCGGAAGGGCTTGTGCCCCCCCACCCCGACTCCGCCCTCTCCTTCCCCCATTGGCTCCCTCCCCAAATCCCCGCCTCTTCCCCAAGCACACCATTCCTCCTCCCTCCACAAGCGCTGGAGGGAGGCCCTGGAGATGCAGGGGGAGCGCGGGGCCGGGGTGAGTGAGAGTCCGGCCTAGCCCCGAGCGCAGGCAGGACTCGGGCGGTACCTGGAGGGAGAGTAGGAGGGCGGCCCGTGGGGCTAGGCGGCGGCTGTTCTCCCCACCTGGGCAGCGGGACTCGGGAGCAGTCGCTGCTGCAGCTCCCACCAGAGGAAGCGGCCATGGCGCTCGGCGGCTGCGACTCTGGCGCCCGGGCCCGAACAGCCCACGCCTGTTGTGGGTA